TGGTCATTACTTCATGTATAGGATGACCAAAGTATAGGGCCAGTATGGCCATCAGTGACCCAAAGGATGTTGACAGGGCATTTTGCAGCACTCTGTCTCTCATGCTGCCTGTAAAATTTTCATCGTTTGGGCCACAGGTGTTCACGTTAAACATGGACTGCCTCATCCCCAGCTCCTGAATTATTTGAACCAAGTCAGTATATGTTTGCCATTTACTCACAGTCTTGAGCAGTTCCCCAGCATTTGCCCACACGGTTCAGGCAGCTGCACTTACCCATTCCATTAACGAGTGATTATCTGGCCCTTGTTCATATCTGCAGCTATTCTGCAGCTGCTGCCTCAGGAATGGGTGCATGGTAATAGAGGCCAATTTTTCCATCTCTTCACCAGAGCACATCACACTATCCACCCCAGGTGCCATAACTGCAGCAGCCAAGCATCTAGGGGCACCCCCTTTTTCTGCCGGAACTGTCTCCCTAAATCAACTAATTCAACCTGGGTATATATAGTGAATTCAGTTACCTGTGGGTCACCCGCCGGTTCTCCACCTGGTCCTACTGGCTGTTCGTGTTTCAGTTTCAGGTGCACAATGGGTCATGCCTGGAGACGCAAAGTCTCCTCTAAGTCACCACTGGGTTTGTCGTTCTCCCAGGTGTGAGAGGCAGGGGTACCCAGTTGCAGCACGTCATCCTCCAGACAGATTATCCATGCTTCCAGCAGCTCTGCTTTCTTCTTTAAATCTTGATCCATTTGTATCATAGTGAGAAGTAGCCAGGCTCCGGTCAGCAGAAAAGTGGCCACCAGGGATCATATGCTCAAGGATAGCCATAGTTCCTTCTCCTCCCAAGGGGCTCTCTGAGGCTGCACTGCTTCATGGAGTGCCTGGTCTATGCTGACTTGCTGTATAGCAAGCAGCAACCAGATCCTGGGCAACAGGAAAGTGGCCAGAGGGCACAACATATTCAGGAGTAGCCATATTTCCTCCCTCTCCAAGGGGCTTTTGGCTCCTGTACCTGCTCAAATACCCTGCCAACTATGTCAATTGTAAAGCTAGGGCTTACAGACCTCTCAAGTCTGTTGCACAGATCGGGTTACAAACCCTCCACATGCAGGTCTGTGAGCTAGGAAATGGAAAAAAACGGTTCTAGGAGCCGTAGGTAAAGAAAAATTAATGGGTTTTATTCAGATCTCGGAGGAAGCATCCTAGTGGCTTCCCTGAAAGTTCTGAGAAGCACTGTGGATCAGAGCGGTTGGTCTTTTATACTTAAGTCCACAACCCTGGACACCTGCCCATACACAACTTACATTAAGTAGTAACAAGGAACACATGAGGATATTTACAACAAATGCTCAGCAAGATTCTGAACATCCGAGGGGCCCTGATATTTTCCTATTTTTCCCAACAGGGAGAATGGCTATTGATGGAAAATTAGTATTTCTGCTGTAGCATCTTGACCTAAAACCCGAGGATGGAAAGGTGATAACTAAGAGAAAGTAAGGGAAAATGTGGAAATGTGTCCAAGCCAAAATAGATGCTCTTTTTAGTGATTGGATGCATCTGTATTAATCTTATTTCCTTGGTAGAAGTTGACACTGGTAAAAAGCTGTCCCTTGTTGTACTTGACCGATGTGTGCTGGATAGTACTCAGAGTATCTCATTTTCTTTCAAGGCCAATGAAATCTCCCTGTCATCTTCCTAGATGGAAATAATAGAACTCTGTATCTATTATCTGTCTATATTTATCTATCTTATCTTATGATCACTTTATTAAGTGCTGACTCTGCCAAAATGAGTCTCTTCATAAACTTGTTGAAATGTTCCCTACTGAATATTTATCATAAATTAATATCACAAGGTACTAATATATAACTGCAGGTAGAATGTATATTGCAATTAGAAAAGCTGCACAATTAAATCCTAAGTGTACTAGATCT